TTCTTTGCAGTCTGGAACTTAATTTAAGGAAAGTTTAATTCCTGGAAAAGTACAGGAAGGAATGCTTTCTTTATTTCTAAACACATGGAAGGTAACAAGAAACTAGGTGAATTTACCCTTTGAAAGCAAGATGCGTGTTTGTCTGTTGTTTTGTAGAACACAGCACTGAGTCTTGAGGCACAGTGACAGTGTGGTGTGACTTGTGGTAGCCAGCCTAGCTCTGCTCTGTAGCAGAGCCCTGCTACTCTGTAGCTACCTTCACCTTCTTTTACTCTTCTGTGTGGTGAGATTCAGTCTCCGGCACCTGCCTTGCTATTTACCTGTGACTGTGAGGTAGTAACTTCTATAGGATCAAGCAAAACTGGTTGAGTAACTGCATCTAAGGAACACTTACCACATGGTTTACAGATCTTCCTATAGTGCAGATCTTCCCACTGCACATTTTTTACAGGATGCCTGAGACAATAAAATAAAGGGCATGACAAGGAAGTTTTCAGACCGTGTGGAGCTGAGAACAACTGCATGTGTGGTGGAGAATGAGATTGCTGTTTAGAATAATCCTGGCAAATGGAAGACATAATCTGGAACAAAGCAGGGTGTCAGCACAAAAGCAACATACTGTCTGTAGACTGGACTGAATGAGAATGTGATGGAGGAAGAAACAGGGTAAGGTGCAGTTCTGTGGAAAGGTACCTGGAATATTTGGATCACAAACCAAGGACACAGTATCATGCTGTTGGGAAGAGGTTAAAGCATTTGGGCAGGAGCTCAAAGGTAATGTGGAATAATCTCTCTGTTCTTCTCAGGTTGATGGGTCCTACAGTACCCTAGTTTTAGGTTCTGAACTTTAACCAATTGGGGACCTATTGGAGTGTGTTAAGCAGATAACAGTGGTCTAGAAAATTATTTCAGATGGAAGATTGAAAGAATTAGAATAGATTAGTCAAAGCATAGGATATTCAGGTTGCAAAGAAAAGGGTAGTCTCTTCTCTATTCCTTGGTCATGCCAAGGGAAAGGTGAGATTTGGTCATTGAGAAACTTTTTCCATTTGCTAAGGGCAAAGGAATTCTAGATCAGAGAGAAGACTGAGTCTTGACAAAAATCTTTCTGCCATAGGTAAGCATATGGGAAACTTTGGTGGAAGGGAAAATAATTAGATGGTGTCTTTATAGGCCTTACACCTACCTGAGTGTTAGTGACTTATTTCCATCATATCTGTTACTACCATTTGCATGTGTGAGAAGAATTCCAACAGGTAAATGAAAACTGTACATCCAAAAAAGGAAGTGTATCTTGTAATTCTAAGCAGAGGGTCTGAGGGTTGTTTTCTGGGCTTTTATCTGGGTTAGTTTTTGCTTGTTTTTTTGTTTTAGTACTATTGACAATTGTAAATCCTATTCTTCCATAGAGCTTACTGCTTCTTATTTGCATGTATTTTTAATAAGATCACAGCTGCAACAGCTATTAGGGAAAACTGGTCTTCAAACAGCTGCAGGGGTAAGAGTGAGATGTATGTATGTGATCAAGTGAAGTCAAGTAGCTCAGTACTTGCTATTGTCAGGTAAGAAAGGACTGTTGGCATAAACGTAGAATAAGAGTTCCCACTCTGCTTTTGCATTTAGAGACATCCATTTAGAGATGGAAGTTGTGTTGTTCAACAGATTTTTTTTTTTTTTTCATGAATTTTTATCATAATTTTTGAACCTGTTTGTTTCTTGGTCTCAAAAATGTCTTTAGCCATCGAATTCTCTGTTATTTACTAGGCAAAGAAGTACTTAGGAGCAACTTTTTTGATGTTGCCATGTTCTTCTGGGAAACACTTCAGATATCTGACATACCATGTCACTTTGTACTATCATGATTTTTTTTTTTTTGTACTTTGATCTGACAGCCCATCATACTTACCTATTTCGTGAGCTGAAAAATTCTCTCTACTTTCTTGTGCAGAAGCTGGTCCATACTCTGATCAATATTACCTATACTTTTTTTGTGCTTTACATTCTTCATGAGATAGAATGATTTGAAGATAGAGGAACACCACAAATGTATCAGCAATGTAAGAATATGTTATGTTCTCTCTTCATTTAAAAGAAGATCTGATATTCTGGATGGTTCCTAACCTGACCACTTCAAAGCACTAAACAACAGTTTTTGAAGATACATGTTCAGACACTACCAGACCTTTTTTCTGGTAGTGGCATTAAATAGAGTTCTCTCTCCCAGTGTGTTACATTGCATTTACTAATATGTGACTTTATCTGGTTTATTTTCTTGTTGCTCAGTATTCTGGGGTTCTTCTGCAAATTTTTTAATGATGTGTCAGTTTGGGTTGCTTATAATAATTTTGTATAATTTGCAAATGTAAACACAGATGATATCTGAAATGATAGATACGCCCAAGTCCTGGCACAGATTCTCATGAGACTTCTGTCTCCCCTGTGAATCTTTGTCTCTTAAATCTTACCCAGCAAGGTGTTAAATTTTGTAAGGGCTTCCTATGAGATATATCAGGAGAAAGTTTTTAAAAGTCTTGTTCACAACTGGTTCCAACAGTATCCACACTATCCTTGATTTTTTTCAAAGAACTCATGAAGTTGTGAAGCATGATTTTCCTCTACAAATGCTGTACTGTTTGTTTTCTCCCTATTATTTCAGTCTACAAGTTCTTATCTATGGTTTTAACCACCTTGCCCAGTATGGAAGTCAGGCTGTCTTTGTTGTACTTCTCCTGATTACCTTGTCAATCTTGGAAAACTTTCCACTTTCCAGACCTTTTTACTTAGGTCACCTTAAGCCTAAATTTTTGCAGAATTAATAGTTTGACAATTTCATATTTGATGCTTTAACACGTCAGCTAAATAGCATCTGGCTCTGGTGAATTCTTACTATTAAACTGATATTTTTAAATGCTCCTCTGATGCTTCATTTTGAGAGAATGCCTCTCAATATATCTCCAGTCTAAAGACAATCTGGTGTTGGACTGGCTTTGACTGGCTTGGCAGTAATTTCAGAAAACAGATCACCTAGGTTTTCTTCTCTTATTTTATTTTAATTTTTTCTTTTATAACTTCATTATCTATTGGTTTATGGTATTGAGGTAGCAAGTTGTCTCTAACCATCAGATTCTGCTATGTTTGATCTCAGAAATAACAATGAGAGTTTTGTAACAATTTTATTTCTCTCTTACAGATGGCTGTGTAGTTCACTGGCAAACTTTTATTATACTTCCATGTACTAGCTAGTGTACGTCTATCAATGAGACCAGTGTCGGACTTGTATTACCAGTTTTAAATTCTACTAATGACCTGTGTGCAGATGAAAATATATACATAGATAAAAAGTCAGTAGTGACTGGAATTCTGAAGAAAAGTTTGGTTTGCATTTTATTTTTATATTGACAAACAAAATTCTCCATCATAACACGTGATGGAGTATTTATCTAAAAAAAAAAAGTGTGCTTTTTGTCTGTGTGTAGTGAGCAGAAGATACAGTTTGTCTGTGTTTAAGTGGCTCCAATATGTTGTATCATTTAATAAAGGGAATTTTCATAAGTAGTTCATTTTACCATATGCAATTCTTTAACATCGACTTGAAATCTGAATGTGCCCAGGTGCTGGTGGTAGCATGTGTTTTACTTTCACGAGTCCTATTTGAACCAGGAAAAGGGTTGAAATTGTGTTCCTGTTTAGTGATATTCTGGTGTTTCCAGCTGGTTTGTATTTGTGTTTTTTTTTTTTTTTTTTTTTTTTTTTCTGGCAAAGACTTTCTCTTGGGCTTTGCAGCTTTGCCACAAGTATTTTTGTATCTATTATTAAAAATGTGGTGCATTTGTTTTTCTCTTTTCATGTCTGCTTGCATAGATGCACTTTCTTTGCAGTGACTGAATGTAAGCATCACTTATAGTCTTTTCTATTTTTCATCATGGAGAATGGAAGTTTTATATTAGACAGTACTTTCTACAACGTCACTAAATAACCAGAAAGGAATACTAAGTAATGTCTGCTTGAATATGAACTAAAACTATGCCTTTGTAAGATTTTGTAAATATGTCCATGATTACTGCTTTGTTTTAAATAGTGGAGATCTTGAAAACAGTTCTCTTTTATGCATACACTGTGTCTGTCTTTCAGTTTTGCCTAATGTGTCTTTTCTAACAAGGGCATTGCTAAACTAATATTGAATTGCTATTGAATTGCTAAAGTAATACTGAATCTAAGATTTAACTTTAGATGAGATATTCTGCTGGGATTGTGAGTGAATATTTAATGCTCATACAGATGCAGCTTATGTAGTATACTTTACTCTTGTAAGCTATATGCAAAACCTTTTTCTTGTTATTTTTTATATTTTATATACTTCTTTCTTAATACAAAACCTGAAAGATCCATCATTCTGTTGCAGCTACAGAATTAACAGTTTGAAATTTTAGTGCCGCAGCCGTTTTAACTTTCTGACCGCATACTATATTCTAGACATTGAAGTAATTAGTAATTTAAGAAATCTTTGTCTTGATTAGTCCCTTTCTCATGTTCCCACTTGTTTTCTTACAGTCTAGTGAGAATACTGCTACTAAGTTTGTCTTTCATACAATGAATTTTGGTCTTCCATGCTTTTGTTTTACTTCTTAATGGGCTTCCTTTTTTTATTTTTTTCCAAGGGCAAAGTTCAGAAACAAATGAAATTAACTTATTTTCCAGCTACAGTACACTGTATCATAAGAAATTCCAAGAACTTAAAAAATCTTTGGCTACATGTGTAGAGACAAAATTATTCCTTCCCTCAAAATTGTGCATATGAAGTGGTAGCATACTACTATTTGGAGTCTTTTGAGTAGTATGCTCTTTTGGTTTTCTTGAACTCTTGTTTCTTTTTTAAAAAAAAATAATCTGTCTTCTGGTAATAATTTGAAAATGCAAAGCAGTTTACCTAAGTTTAAGTTTTGCAATGTATTTTAAAATGCTGAAATAATAAACAAAAAGTTTGATCTGTTTCTCTTTCACAGAGACCCCAGGGGGAAAAAAAAGTGTATTTCAGGAAATAAAAATCAGAAGAAGCAGCTGCTGACATAGAGAGGTGCACTAAGGATAATTTCTTGTGGAAAATTTTTTAAGGTATGTGAGCTGTGTTTTACAGAAAAGACTCCCTGAAAATAAGCTGCTTGTTTTGCCTTGAGTGGACTAATACTTCAGACCAGTTTTAAAATGAACAGGATAGCTTAGATTACCACTTTGGATGCTTATTGATGGCAATAGCTCTGTAGAAGCATTAATTCAGCTAATTTATTTTCCATACCATGCATATCCATATGGTGTAGAGGGTGTTAGAAAATCATAAGCGCAGCCCTGGTCCTTTTAAGAAATAGATATTTTAAGGTTTTTTTCCTTCACTTGTCTTACTAAAACATTAGTGGTTTTACAAGACCGTTCTTAAATTTTAACTGTGAAAATGTATCATTAATACAACTAATAATGACATAGTCCACCCTTTATAAATACAGCCGGTGTGAATTATTTGCTGTTGATCTTTATGAATGAGCAACTAGCTATCAGCAAGAATTCTGACTAAAATTTACAGCTTCACATTAAAAAGCATATGAAAGCTTGCTATAGATTTAAGGCTACTCATACAACCTTGACTTGTCTCTATTATGTAGATGCAGATTAACACAGCAGTATTCTTATTTTCTTTCTAGAATCTTTGTTTCTTTCATTATGTAGCATGGGTTTTGTTCAAAAATAAACATGTAGTGCATCCAGTGCATCCATGGGTTTATTTCTGTAACTTACTGGAAGAGCTGGTGGAGGCAGGGAGCTGCAGGAAGAGAGGAATGGTCCTGGGAGTCAGGCTATCTTGGAGACTTACAAAATCTCCTGAAATTTTGTGTGATAACTGAAACCATTAATTCCCACCCCCCCACCCCCCGGGTATTTAATATTCTAAAAATGCTAGGCACTCTGGAAAGTTTTCTTTAAGCTTTGTACATATCAGTATTAACTGGTACATTGTTGACATTAGTTTATGTGTCAGTTCTTGGTGTAAAATACGATTACTAGCCCTGCTTCACCCTATTGGCTGTTAGGAAGATAAATCTGTTAAAGTTTATAAAACACTCTGCTAATTTAAGTGGCAATTTAAAGCCTATGAAGAAGTTGGTATTTCTGTATATCCATATAATGAAGACTTGGCTGGGGTGCAGGAATTAGTGAATAAGCAGTACATAGGCTGTGCCTGCACTGCAGTCCAGGGCTATAATTGCAGTTTATCTAAGTTTATCTTGCCTATTTTGAAGTTGATTAGCGTAGTAACAAGTTTTTTGGTGTATACACAGAAAAGAGGTTTCAGCTGGCATTACAAAACTATGCAAGTCTGTTGAAATTGCTCATATGTGTGTTCAGGTCTTCTGTGATGTGGCTACATGTTTATTGGTATGACATGCAGATGTTTTAGAGCTAGCTCAAAAAGGTGTCTTTATCCTGCAGTTGTGTTATAGGTTTTCCTAAGGCAGCATTTCTTCTCTGTTTATCAAATGATGTCCATTTGGTTCAGTGACTGCCTTAGGGGAAGATTGTATGAACCTAAGGACCCCTGGTTTGGGGTATTTTTTTATTTTGGGGAGACTGAATCTGGAATTTTAATGGCCTACTAACATGGTGTTTAGGAGCAAACTAGCTTCTAACTAGTTATCCATTTCCCACAAATGCTGAGAGATGGTATTTTATTTGGACTTCTTCTGTGTTTCTAGGATGAAACAAAGAAATCAAACACCAGAAACAAGTGTTTCACGTCACCAGCTGTGGAACAGTGTAGTTGGCAGTTCTTGTCTGGAAATAGTGCCAGCTGTACTTGCTTGATTAAATATGTGGATTGGTCTTTAGTATCTGTCTTAGATGCTTTTATGCATTCCCTTGCAACTCCATATTAAGTTATGGAGGTACATTTTGCAGATGGAAACTGGAGGACAGTTCTGAGCCTGAGATCTCTTCCAGTCATAGATGGGTGTTTGAAACAGTGCTCTGACCCTCCTTTCAGTTTATTTTGAGGAGGTATGTGTGTGGTTGATTTTATTGTTATTTCAATGTTTAGACATCAGTAGTTGCTCTTTGTCACAGTAGAAGTTTTTCTTTCAGTACGTTTCTCATGAATCTTGTTCTGCTTTCAGATGTGGTGAAGAGCCTGTATTTTCTCCTGTGTGGTATATAGTGCCTTAAAAAATGGGGTTTGGAGGTGACCTGAAGTACTCTCATGATGCTTTATTAAAACTGCAAGACTGGGAACTACGACTGCTGGAAACAGTGAAGAAGTTTATGGTAATGCGAGTAAAAAGTGATAAGGAGTATGCCTCCACTTTACAGAATCTTTGTAATCAAGTAGATAAGGAGAGCACTTGTCAATTGGATTATATCAGCAATGTGTCCAAGGTAAGACTGAAGTATTTTGAATTTGGAATATCCTTGGAAATAACAGTGCTGGATTTATTTTTGTTTGTTTTAATTTGAGTTGGATTCTTGTTCATTCAGCTTCTTGAGAGTTAATGTTGCCAAAGTATTTAAAATGGGGTCCTTTTAGTTCCTCAGTGGAATATGCATAAGTTAAGCTCCAGTCTTGCTTTGAAAATAGTAACTGAATTTAAATCAATCCTGAATTCTGAAATTCAGTATTTTGGGTTCCTGGGTTGAGACTGCTACTTTTGGTTGGTGTTTTGAAAATAGAGTATTCTATAGTAAGCTTTTGTTTTAAGACAGTTAAGTAGGAGCTGTTGTTTATGTTATATAGAATTTGTGATAGAAATAGAAAAATGCCAGGAAATCAAGGCAAAGCCTAGCATTCCAGCTGTTAATCATACTGCAGCACATGTAGTAAAAGCAAAACATTAATTCAGGATGTTTCTCATAATTGTGAAGTTATTTTGTATCCACTTTAAAATCACTGTTTTGATTTTTTTATAATGGTAAGGCTGTCCTCCCCCCAAATTACTCATTTTCAGATTTAGAGGAAGTCCAGTAGAGCTACCAAAGCAGCAAACATCCCTATTTCACCTGTTTGTAAGCTTCTCTCCTGACGTGGATTCCTTCCCAACTAGAGAAGACAATTCTGTTTTAATGGCTTATTCAATTCTTGGCCCTTCTGCAGTGGGAGTGATTACACAGTCCTTTCAGTCTGGCATGAATCCTGTTTTCCCCTTGTCCTATTTCAGCTAGGATAGGGTTAGGTTTCCCCAGCAGAGAGAGAGGGTGAGGGGATCTCTAGCCGGGTTATTCATACCATGCTGGTGTCAGGTCCAGGGGCGGAACCTTTTTACTTTGCTCTTTGGTGGGCTTGGTGGTGGGAACCTGTTCCGTGACCAGTTAGCGGTATTTCTCTGTATATCGTTTGTCTTGTTCACTATTATTGCTGTTTATTGTTGTTATCATTGCTACTGATGTTGTTGTTAAGATTGTTTTATCACTCTGTTATATTAAATTTCTTCTTATTTTAACCCGGGGTTTGTGCCTTGCTTCCAGCCCGACCGGCTGCGTGTGGGGGAGGGGTAATGGCAACGTACTCTCTGGTCCCGGCAGGGCTTAAACTACAACATCCTTCTGCAGGAAAACACACTTTTTGGGTCAAGTTAAATGTTAGACACAGCGCTTTTTATGTAGTGGTCTTATGGGGTGGCTACTTGGAATACTAGCTGTGGCATAGCATTAGGAACCTGGCTGGTCCCTATGCAGCAGTGTAGATTTATACTGGATTAAAGTGATGGTGTGTGTGACTTGAAAGCTGCGCTACTATAGCTAGCCTGCTTCAGCGGCCCCAAAAGTATCACTGGACAGTGTTTATGTAGAACAAATTCTGTTGTTGCTTCCTTCCCCCACAAAAATTGTTGTCTTGTAAATTGACATACTACCTTTTTTTTCATCTGTTTTGATAGTGTGGTTGAAATGCTTTTCACATGATTGTTTCTTATACACAATTTGTTATAGCTTTTGCTATTTAAGTTGTGATGACTTTGTTAAAGAAGCATTAAAGCATTGTCATTGGCAAAATGTCAGGTAATTTCTTCAAGCTTTTACACTGTTGGATCCCAAAGTTTTGTATAGAATTATTGGTGATATGGCTAGTAATTGTTGTTACTGCTGCCCCACTAGAATTATGGTAGCTAAAGTGTCTTCCAGTTCTTTTAGATGATGAAACAGAACAGATCAGCAATAGAACAGTAAAGGAACATTTGCATCAGGCTATTTAGCATTATAAGGCATAAGAACCCTTAACCTTGTAGCTCAGTCTAGAATGGTTCATGTCAGTGATATGGATACTTCTGTGAGCAAATAGATTTTTAAGAAGTTGAAGGTCTAACTTAAGCCATGTTCTTTTTGAAGAAAGGCACATATATCACATTTTGAAATCTTGTTTTGGACATAGGCACTCAAGTTGTTATTTCAGAATTATTTTTGTTCCCTTTTTCTCTTGAGAAGGTACCATTTTTCCTCTCAAGACCCATTGCTGATCTCTACATCTTTATATAACAGCAAAAATACTCATATGCTACTAACAGATTGTTTGTGTGGGCTTGCCTTGAAATTTCACTGTCACCTTGGATTTTAAAGTTGTGTAGCAACACACTGTCTTATTGGTTTTAACAGTTAAAATGTCTGAATTTTTTATTACTTTAGTCACCTTATTGTAATTTACTTTTTTCTCTCTTTCTGACATTTTACAGAATCAAAGTACGACCAAATATTATGGGACATTAATCTAGTATCTTACATCTCCTAGGATTTAAAATACCTATATATTAAATTTTTGGTATTATGTGGCATCAGTGCCAAATACCAAGCTGTCTAATCTGATGTGTTTTTTGGTTTTATTAAAGTGCACAGCAAGAGTGAGCACTTTGAGAGGAAGGTGTTTGTGAAAATCTGTCCTATGTTTTTTTCATGCAGACACAGCAAAATTGCTGGAAGGCATAGTGACAGCAAATGCTAATGCTAGAAAAGCAGTATTTTTAACAGCTTCAAAACAGCTGTTTTTTGGTGTGTGTATATATGTCTAAAAAATGCTGTTAAACCAAACAATATTATATTTTATTGCATTTGATGAATTGTGGTTATCTTCTGTGAAGGGAATTGCTTTGCTTTTTCTGCTGTCCCCACCCAGCTCCTTTTCTGCCCCATATAAATCTCAATTTTTGAAGCCTTTCCTGAAGTATAGCTTTTTGCTTTAGCTTTTTCTATTTTAAAATAATAACATTTAATTGTACAAACCCCAGAAATCCCATTTAAAAGATGTTTTCTCATTATGGAAAGACGGTTGTAAAGAACAGGAAAATGTGCAAGTGATTTTTTTTTTTCAATTAAAGGGAAGTTTTTGCTATGTTTCTGACTTATTCAAGTGCATTTGGGGAATTGTAGGCTAAGTATTTCTTAAGAGTACTTGTCCTGTTGAAAAATGCTTTTGCTCTGATTTTCAGGGTTGATTGAAACAGTGCTTCTCATCAGTAATAAATCAGCTTTAAAGAAAATGGAGAACTGTGACTACATTTTCACCTCTGAAAGCACTCTTATGAGCTCTTCTATAACCACAAGACCCACTCCTCCCAGAAGTTTAATGATGTTTTTATTCTATGCAGCTTTGCAGTATGGCTTCTGATTTTGAAAGTGTTCTGTAATGGAGAGACAAAACAATTTTAAGCCATAGTCGAGAAGCTTCAGGCCATGACCTTTTACATCACCCCTTTAGGCAGTCTGATATAGCTCTGTGGCAGTCTGTAGGATGTTTACGAGCCAAAGGAAATATTAAAGATGGTTTAATATATACAGGAGTTTAATGTCTTTTGTTTCCTTCTCTAGAATCCAGGTTGCATTGCAGCATTACCATGTAGAGATGAAAATATTATGTATATATGAGATGTAAGGAAACCCCAAAGCCACCAAACAAATTAATTTTCTAAGTTTTGATGATCTAAGGTAGATTTATGTCTTTAGTAAGAGTAAGGTAAATGCTAATAGAACATGTATGCTAGCTGCCTTCAAAACCTGCTAATTGTATGGCATGTATCCATTCTGAAATTTTAGATACAGCATAGCATTCAGTGTCAGGGAGTTATCTCAAAGGAATTTGGTACTGTTCTCATCAGCAAAGTGTGACAGGGAACTTCAGGGTGACAAATACTTCTATTTGAACTGAATTTAATTTTGTGTCCGTGGTGCATTGGAAGTCACTGTTCACCTTACAGTTCTTAATCACAGTTCACAGCCACGAACAGAACATTAAGCTTCCTGAAAATTGACTGACAGAATGGCCAAGGAAGTTATTAAAGTAAGAGTATGGAAAGATGTTGAGTTACTAAGACAGATGAGTAAATGCTTGTGTAAAAACCTGTTATCACTTTATGCTGTGATACTGGTGACCTGACTGATGCTGTCAGTTATGTGAAGCAGCTGATGCTCTTCAACAGTAACCACTCAGATGCATATTACTGTGAGCTGTTTAGACGAGGTCAGAGAAGTTAGCTTGAATGGAGTAACTGTGGCTGGGAAACAGAACAAAGTACAGGGGAATATGATTGTGAGGGATGTCGGGGATGTGTTCCAAAAAAGGCTGTAAAGCTTTTGGTGTTCAGAAGTACAAGGACAGTGCTGAAGGGTGAACATACAATGTTGTGTTTCTGTCTGGTGCTTTTTTATGATTTAATGAGTAAGTTCGAGGAATGATTTTGCTGCAGCAGGAAAACTTAATTTTTGAAGATCTCAAATGCATTTGGGTAAGTTTAAAATTATTTTTTTAGTGAATTGTTTTGAAGAGTTATGCATCTTTTCCCACAGTTCGTGTTCATCATTTAGTTATTTGAAAGCCAGAATGAGTAAGTGCTTTTCTGTTCTGACTTTTTTTATAGTCTTGGTTGCTCGTGGTACAGCAAACAGAACAGCTGAGCAAAATAATGAAGACACATGCAGAGGATCTTAATTCTGGGCCTTTGCATAGGCTTACAATGATGATCAAAGATAAGCAGCAAGTTAAGAAGAGTTATGTAGGTGTTCATCAACAAATTGAAGCAGAGATGTACAAGGTATTTTACCTAACTGTGTTTTATAAATGTATTAGTTTTGTATGTTCAAAAAGTAGTATCTTGAGAGTGGATTCTTTTAGTTCCTCTTTTTGTTTGTGTCATGATAAAATTAGTGATTTGCAATATGTAGAATGCCTAGTTTAAATTTTATTTTTTTCCTCCACATTTTCTCTCCCTTGCTAGCTGACAAGGCAAAGGTGGAAAACTTTCTTCTGTATGAATTTCTATGGACAGATGGCACTGGAAATGCTCTTGTTCCAGCAGAGGATGATTCTGTGTGACACTCCTCAATTCCATCTTTCTTCCTGTTCTCATTCTACTCTAGACATCTCTGGGACCAGGGCTTTGAAAACTTCCGTTAATGAATGCTCTTGACAGTCCAGACTGTTTTGGGCGGGAAGAGGATTATAATCCCCATTCTAAAATAGAAAACAAATGTAAACCAAACATTAAGGCTGCAGATGGAGTTCTTCAGGGCCTTTTCTATTACATGTCAGTTGACATGCTCATGTTGAAAGTGCTGTGTCTGGTCAGTTAAAATTGACAGAAATTACCGTTTTATTCAGGTGGTCTGGGAGAAGTTCAGCCGCAAATGTCAAAAATCAAATTGCTGGTCTGAAAAGTTTACTGAGAGAAAGAAAAGCATCTTTTCTCCCAGCGGAGAATTTGAGATTTGGAGTAGTGTAATTTAAATGTAATATCTGAGTAGTACAGTACAAATATCAGGACTGATGAGTAAAGATTCTTAGGCTGTTATGAGAAGAACTTCAAACTAGTACTAAGCATATATTAAGTTAAATATGTTGGTTCTAATAGAACTGCTTTCATAATATGCTAGGTCTTGGCATTGTCCCCAGGTATTGACTATGGGGAGTGTATCCTTTTTGATTCATGGTCGGTAGGCTGTTTTACCTGAAAAAACTTTCAAGCCAAGTAAGTAATCACTCACATCCAATTTACGGATTGGTGCATCTGAAAATAGTCAGGATGGAAGAAGATGAAAACCTGATAGCATACATTAGAAATAATAGAGATTAAATATATAGAGAATTGGAGAAATGGAAAAAGAAAGAAAGAAACATATGAAAGAGAACCTAGATGAAACAAGACTCCTGGAAGTTCAGGTATACTTTTAAAAGAGACTGCAAAATATTTATTTTTTCTGTTAATAAGGTAACTAATAAAATCTCTAACAAAGCTGTCTTTTAAAATAAGGCTTTTGAAAAAAATGTAGTGCATATTGAGCACTCCCCAAATGATTAATTACAAACCATGTTGACTTTAATTAATTATGGTCTGGTCTGCATGGCCATGCAAATATTTTGCATCCTGATGAATAAGCTTACATTGTTGTTTGGTTTTCTTTTTCTCCCCCTTCCTGATTTTCCTAAGATGCATTTGAATAGCAGTCTGTTTCATATATAATATGTTATTTCATTGTTAGCTGACATTGTTCAAACGTTCTGTGTCACTGGAGCACTTACAGAATGGTTCCCAGAAATTCAAAATACTTCTCCGTGGTGTTATTTCTGCTTTTGCTGCACACAGAAGCAAAATACTTACTACTTCCCAAGACATTATCCAAATGTTGTGATGATCGGAGTCTGTGCAGTTCATGCCTATCGGATATGCTGGCAAAAAAATGTGTTTTCCTTTAGGTGAAATGCATATATATCATCCTTTCTTATTCAAGACACCTCTACAGTGAGAAATCTTTTTGATAAAATCCTTAAGGACCGTGAAATGCCATGGTTTTTATACAAATGTAATAAAACTTATTTTATTCCAATTCCCATTAAGATATCAAATATTATTTTCTTTCTTCATGAAATTTGGTGAAAAAAAGTAAAGTACCATGCTACAGGGAAGACTTTTTGATATAAAAACTGGTTTTAAGATAATCCTTGGCTGTCTTAGTTCCTTAAGCTTTATTTGGGGGCAGAGGCTCTCTTGGTTTTGTTTTTGTCTGTTGGAAGAATAGTCTAAGAATCAGTAAAATGTATTTTGCAATTGTTACAAAGGTTTTGTAATACTGGTGGCCTACCTTTTATTTTCTAGTTTTCTGTAAGATAAGCAATTCCATGTTATTTCTGTTTTAATTGTGTTCACTACTTTCTCATTTAATCTTTTATTTTTCCATTTCTCGTTGTCTTTATGTTACAAATTTGTCATAAATTTAGTTTTTCCTATATTACCTCTATTAGTCTATAATAATATAATATGAATATAATTTACAGTGTGTAGAAATACTTGAATGTGGTTTTGTTGTGGAGAAGAGTTCCTGCCTTTAGATTAAATATTTGCACAGATGGCCCAGAAATAGAGACTGTCAACAGCACCTTGTTGGCTCTTTGAGGAATTAAGTTTTCAGATGTTGTTCTTGAGGGTGAAAGTAGGTGGTGTCTGGGCCTCTTCTCATGAAAAAAAGGAGAATTATGAACTGCAGTGTTCTTCATGCCAGCTGTGAGGAAGAGTTTTTTTCTGTAGAATAGACATCCTTTTCTGCACAGTAGTTGAGGGGAGCACTTCCATTAAATTAAGTTCCTCTTCCATGGTTTCCTGTTGTGTTTTTTTCTTACTGTCAAAGTTTTTACTATTCTTTGCTATATATGCCACCTCTTTGGTATTGTAGTGGCTGGTTTGTCATTAGCTTTTATTTGCAAGTTCATGTTTTGTGATTATTTCTGAACAGTGCACTAATTTTGTCACACAGTGAGTGAAAGTTGAGGATAGAAGAGGCAACTTTATTTTAATTTTTGTCCAAAACTATCATGTTCAGTGGAGCTGCTTCCACTGCAAAAAAATTCAGTGCTGTGTTCCACTGTAGTTTGGTTGGGTTTTGTGTTTGGTGGTTTTTCTTTTTTGTTGGTGGTTGGTTTCTTTTTAGGGATTTAAGACTTAAAGCAGATAGATTGGTTCATGCAAAGTTGCTGTTTCTATGCTGTTCGTATGAACTGTAATATCTAAAAATTCTTCCATCTTGCTTTTTTTTTTTAGGTGCTAAAGGATTTCTATCCTATGTATGGAACTTTTTTATCTATGATTTATTAAGCATCTTCTTTGTGCTTTTTCCCTTATCATTAAAAGGGAATAGTGTTTATGATCAGCTGGATTTCCTAAACTTATCTTTCATGACTGATGTGGATGAGGATGTCTGTTTCAGGCCTTTTATTTCATTATATGCATCTGTTGATTTTGATTTTTGTTATACCATATAATAACCCGTTGTCTCAAGCCAGTGGAAAGCAGTACCATCATTATTTTAGAAGATAAATTCTGTTTATTCTCTTTCATTAATGCTGTGAACTTTTTTATATGTTGAGGATAAGTATTTTTAATACTTTTTATATTTTTATTTTCTTAAAGGTCACAAAGACAGAACTAGAGAAACTAAAATCTAGCTATAGACAACTAATAAAAGAAGTAAATTCTGCGAAAGAAAAGTATAAAGAAGCTGTGGCTAAAGGTATGACTGACATGTTAATTTTGTCTATTAGTTTCTTTTTCAAACCTGATGAAACTCTTACCGTGAAACAGGGTTATGTCTTAATTTCAAACAACTCGATTACAACATAAAAACTTATTTAGTATTTTAAGTAAGACAGACTAATTGTCATCATTTGTAGTTGGTGGTTCTCTTAAAAATTATAAAATAAAGGTAACCCTTCTTTTAATATAAATGGTAATTTAAAAAATTCTTCTGTTATTGCTTCAGTGGATGCATTTGAAATGTAAGATTGCTCAAATGAACTATTAATAGTGGGTTGCAACTCCATCTCATCTACATTGTAGCTGCAATGTAGTTGCAGCCTACTTGCATCCTGTGACCTATTATGGTTGCTGCAGTGGCATCAAGCATCAGTTCTTGACTAATGGATCTGACCTTTGCACTCTTAAATAAAAGAGGAAAAGAATTCTTTTGCACACTGATACATTTCAAAGATTTGGGGGGGATGATGTGTCCAAGCTGCTGTATTTTGATTCTTGTTGAATTGTGCTAATGATTAGATAAAGGAGAGCATTTGCTCAGTGTTAATGTCTTGTTAATAATTGTTTCTATGTTCCTTTCTAAGATTTTTTTTCTTCAGGAAGTTAATTGGATGGCAGTATATAAATGTAATTCCAAGATCTATTTTATTTTTTTGTATGACTGCTTAAAATGACAATAGTTATCCTTGATTCCGTTGTACTATAATTCATAGTACAATATAGTAGCTATCAGTGCTGAGAGAAAGACTGTTTCTTTCCAAGTTTGTCTGAAATTTGGAGCAGTTGCCAATATGTGAATGTAATGACAAAACATCATGGGATAAGAGAAGTTATACTTAGCATTGTTCGGCGTTTTTTTTTTTTTGCTTTTACTGATGCTCATATTCCCTTAAAAATGTAAATACATAATCTTTCATTTCGTCCAGTTTCCTAGCTGTTTTTTACAGATAGCTTTAATTTGGTTACTTGGTTTATCCCCAACTACTTAACATAGGAACATATGGTATGTATCATAGAAGATACAATAGGGCTCTGTAATGTTAGTATATTGTATTTATCCTATCTTCCTGTTAAAGTCTGATCATTCTCAATTCCTGGAGCACCACACTTTCTCACTGAAATCAGAGTGTTTTGGCTGTCAGCAGCTGTGATGTTTTAATGTTATGATTAACTGAATTAATATTTCTTTAGATAGACAGTAAACATGAGCTGTTTAAGACACTTACTTCTCCTATGGTTTTCCTTGACCACCTCTTTCAGGCTTCCATTTAGTATTTGTCTTATTACAATTGGTAGTTAATTTCACTTTCCCTAATATCTTAGTGTAAATCTGTTTTAAGAAACACTAACCTCTAGAAAAATGTTGCGGGTTTTTCTCCCTAAAATTGCAGAATTTCTTCTCCCCTGTCAAACCCCAGGCTGTGTACTTGTTTACAAATATTTATATAGTTGATAGTTGTATATCAACTTTAGGTCATCTGAGCTGTTTGAAAATTTTAAACCATGCTATTTTCACAGGGTTTCTGAGCCTTCACGTTGTCAAACTGGTTTGTGAAGTGAACAAATTAGGGAGCTTTTAAAATTGTAATGCTTCATTATTACAGGCAATAGTTCAGTAACTACTACTTTTTCTTTTTCATTGTGTGCTATTAGGAAATACGATTTTTGTTAATACACAAATTGGTTCAGTTTTTCTACCATAACACTGGGAGGGCATAGCTCAGTATTAGAAGTAAGTCAAAAACCATTTTGTTAAACAAAAAAAATCAAAATCTTTGGTCACCAACTCTTGCAAGAAATGTGTTAAAAGAACCAGTCCAGGTTCACCTCTGTAAAATGCTGTTCTCAACAGACTCTGTTACTCTGGCAAACCATTTCCATCACAGTGCCTGACCCTCCTTTCTGGAGCTGAAAGCGATAACTACTCCTTAGGACATACTACTTTGTCTTTGCCTCTGGGCTTGTGCTTGCTGAATTAGCTGTAAATCTGTACAGTGCCTTTACAGGCTGTCAACATGAAAAGAATGCAAGCCACACAGAGGAATGGCTTAAGAATTTCTCTGTGTTGCTAATTTTGAAATGTAGTAACTTCTGTTTTGTTTTGGTTTGCAATAGCAAAGCCATCTTCTAGTGAAAGAGTAAGTTTATTAGAGCAGCTAGTGAAAGAAGTACAAGTGATTCTCTAGTTTGGGAAGACCATTGTTTCCCTTTGTTTTCTGCTTGAAAATGTTATTTAATTCTGGGCTAAACACAGAGTAGAGGATATTAACTGAAAAAGGGTAAAGCTTGTCAAAGTGATAAACAGTGGAAAGTTATCTTCTGCAGTAGTCGTTAGTTTTATGTTTTTCTGTGGTCACAATGTATTCTTAGGTAAACTTGAATTACTGCGTGTCATACTTCCCACCAACTAAAAGGACAGTCACTTTGAGTCAACGTCTTAACGCCCTAATGCTGGGTTACAGCTGTTTTCGCTTTTTGATGAAAACACTAAGAGGACCTATGGAAAAAATAATAAGAATAATGGTTAAGCACTGACTAATGATACTGGTTAGTTAGAGGTTTTGTTTGTGTTAGGGAAATGGGAAGGTGGTTGGTGGGGATTTTTACATAGTTTCGTAGTGAGGAAAAGGGAACTGCTATCATGGAAGCCTTTGTGCTCTCCAGATCTGGAGAAAGATGAAAGTGTCTTAGATGCTGGCTCATGAGCTGTTCTAGGGAACCCTCCACTAGCACTACTTCTGCTTCGGTGTCAGGGAAGCAGGGGGACAGTAGTGTTGCAGAGGGTGCAACACTGAGCTTTGGCTGCCACTTGGTCCTTAGACTGGATTGTACTGCCCTGTTGTGGCCACCAGTGTCTGCATGCTGTCTCCATCAACTGTTTTATTCTAGCCCTTATCCCACTTAGTGACGTGGCAGAAACAAAGTCTACAACTCAGAAAGAGTTATAAAGCAGGTCTGTTTAATCCGGCTGGGGTGCAAGGGGATTTCTCCACAAAGCCTGCATGCCGTCTCTGGCAAGTAGCCAGATATTTATTACAACAAAACATACATATTCATTAGGAAGGGCTGGGTTATTACAATTAGTTTGGGGAATAGGTGTGATTATTATAATTATTCAAGGAGAGAATTATGTGGTCCTCTTCATGGTGTCCCGCTGTTAAGCAAAGTCCAGATGTCTCCTAAATCGGCAAGATCATCCTCCCTAGATAGCATCTCTGAGTCCTTTTGTTCAAGTTTAAGTTTGCCTAAGTGCCCATTCAGGGCTTTGGTTCTGTTATCGGTGAGTTGTCCTTTTAATTCATACCCCCGGGCTACCCGCTACTTTCTTATCATAGCCAATCCCCAAGTTATCTGGTGAGGCACAGTGATTCCACAAAACAATCCTGGATGAGCAAGATTCTTAGACAACGTTCAGAAATCATCATACATTGCTATAAGTAAATAATTTGCAAGGAAAGTCGTCATTTCTCTGTATCATTAGTCATGCATTGCTGCTCCTTTCTGTACCAGTGATTACCATGGGAAGCACAAACGTAGCCTGCTTGGTTGCTCTTGGTCATGGAGTCCCCAGGTGTCAGGCAGTCTGGTTGCTGTTACGCAATTGGTTGATATTTTTGGGTTTTTTTTTTTTTTTCAGTCATAAATTCTTATGGTTTTTTTTTTAATGTATGGTGGAGAGAAAGCAAGCTTGAGAAGGGCTTAAAGTCAGCAAGCTGAACTATTCCAGTGCCTCTCTAATGAGGCATACTTCAGGGACTATGGACAGACTGATTCCAGTAGACTCTTCTGGATTGGAAAGCTTTGTGGAAAAAAAAAAAAAAATCAAAAAAGTATGTAGTGAGAAGGCACAACAATGTGTTCCTTTGCAGATCTGGGGCATTAGAGCATGTTGGGGCCATAGGGCATTCTGGGGTCATTGCAGAAAAATATAAAATAAAACCGGGTTAGATTGTTTTTTTCATTAAATAAACAGCCCTCTGACATCTTTTAGACATGTGATATTGAGAAAACGTGGTGTAAACTTCTTACAACAGTGGTCTGACTGACAGATTGTGTACAATTTTTAGCCTACAATGCTGTGCTGACATCAGTGATGCTGAGTAACAAGGTTAAAACAGTGGTGTCATGTTGATGTTGCTGCAGGAAAACACATCAAAATCTATGCCAAATGCTAAAGACATTGGCTGAAGTTACAAAGCTTTTAAAACAGTTTCATAAATAATGGTAAGGAACACAAAAAGGAAACTGTAGAACAGCTGTAGATATTAAGTGTGGTATCTCATTACAGTTTTAATCTCATTTGATTAGATAAGTAACTGTTTCCTCTTGTTTGCTATTTCCACAATTATTTCTGTTTCTGAAGAACTGTGCATTCTGTTAGCTGTAGTTCAGAGTGAGCATTTGTTTTCATTCTTGATTTTTTTTTTGATTAAACACTACATATTGCTATATATAAAAAATGTTTAAATGCGGGAATGATGAGTCCCTGAAACCATAAACAATAATTTGCTCTTTTCCTTACATTTTTCTTTTAAAATTTGAGAAACATTAATTCATAAAACAGTTTGGCATCTATTTTTGTAGCTGATTTTGGTGTTTAAATGTGAAACATTTTTTTTATATCAGTTAAATGTGAAACAGTTTTTTTTATATCAGTTAGTATTGCAAATTGGAACAGAGCCAGTGTAGATATGGGAGGTTCATACTGGATTTTAATACAATATAATCTTTAGCAAAATTTAAAGTTTTCATGTAAATATGTCCATTACAGGTTTTTATTGTATTCTTGTTACTACATAATTTGATTGAATGTAGAAACTATATTGCAACATTCTCATGTGAAGAATGGATCTAAAGTAAATAGTAAAGGAAAAATGTATGGATTCTAGTATTCAATTTCATTCTTTCATTTTATGCTGCTACAATAGCATTTAAATGTATTGTACCAAATTTCCTTAGGTTCACTTGTGTTCCCTG